GGAAATGGGTTGAAAACTTAAAAGCTGATTGGAAAATGGACCCCTGGGTGTAGCTTGTTGACTATGGTCCTCACCTTAGCCTGGGCTGGTGGGGACTTTCTCAGGGAAACCCTGCTGTCTGTGTCTGGAGCTTTCCTCCCTGGGATGTGAAGATTCCCCTGGGAAGGCTCTTCTGGTCTTCAGCACTCTGGAGCTGGTTGTCTGCATTCAGCATGCATGTGTTTTAGTGGGTACTCCTCTCCTCACTTATGTTTAGTGTCCCTCAGTCCAGAAGCCTTTGATTTTAGCATCTCCAGAGAATAATAAACCTCTAGTCTTAATACCAGAGTAAGGGGAGGCAGCTGCCCAGCTGTGTAAAGTTGGGAAACAGTCTAAGGATCTAACTGCTTTTTCAGCAATCTGTCAACTGACACTAGTTTTTACCCTCACCTCCATTTCTAGAGCTACCATATGTAGTCGATCCCCAAGTCTTTCGGGGGATACAGTGTAAACTGGGTTGCTTCTTGACATTCCCTCCTACTGGCTCAGGATGCAGCTTTCTGAGTCAACTAGGTTGGTTATCTCCTGTCCTGCTTTCTGGCTTCCGACATTTTGTGGCTGGTGGCTCTTCCTGTTCTCTTTGTCCTTGGAGACCAGTTCATTTACTGTCATTTTAGTGGGGTTTCTCAAGGGAGAGAAGCAAATGCTTTGTTCCATCTGTTATCTTACCCAGAAGCCTGAAACAAATACACTCTGCATCATTTCTGCCCTCTGCCTTGACTATTTTATTATATTTTGAAAAAGCAGATGGGAAATGGACATTAGATCTGAGTTCAAAGCTAAAATAATTTCACGGTCAATAAAGAGGGGCTATTTTCCTTTGGGAAAGTACTTGTTACCAATATTTAGTCATAAATGTATTTTTGATAATTCTAAAAATGGAATTTATGTACCAAAATACTGTTTTGCTCATGACCTGATCATGAAGAGCGAATAGTGTAGATATTTATATTATAGATAGTTAGTTGCAGATTTCTGTACAAGAATACAAAATCTTTGCCAGCCGGTGAATAGTTGCATTAATATTTCTGACCAGAAATAGTATGTGGAATTTTGAGATTAAGGTTTTGTACTAGGCACTAGAAAACATTTCACATAATCAAAGATAATGTTTTCTTTCATCCCACCTCGAATACATAATCTGTCTTATAAATTCTAGGGATTGAATTTCTCATGGAGTGCTCAAGAATCCAGAGAAGACAGAAAAATCAATATAATATTTTGAGAAGCCCATAGTACAATATTTTTGAGATGCTAAGAAATTGAGAAGAATGCCTGATGGAAAGTCATCTGCATACAAAGTCGGTTAGGTTTGAATTCATGGGAGAAAGCACGGAGACTGCGCCTAGTGAGGCTAACCGTGATGACCTCTCTGGTTTCGAATCCCCACTCCTCTCGCTCCCTAACCCCACTTGGACACAGGCTTCTCAGTGTGACCTTTTGTTTCTCCCTTTTCCCTCTGTTGTACATTCAAGCCAAGTCCAATGGGCTGGTAGAAGACGTAGTAGTTTAGTTTGAGGGATGCAAAGGAGGAGTACTTGAAGTACTTGAAGGTTTTCTTCTTTCCACTCTCCCCAGTGCCTAAGATGCTGGTGTCCTCAACCTACAGGGCTGGCTTCGAAGCATGCCACGTTAAAGTCCCACTTTGACCAGCTCTGTCTACTGCAGGGCATTTCATGTGAGGACACACTGTCAGCTTTTGATTCCTAACACCAAAATTCAAAATAGGGAAATCTCCTACAGAACGTGTACTGATTGCTTTCCCCGCTGTGGGTTCAGGTAGCAGACAAAAAACACTTTCTCTGAGCACCTTCTAATGACCCACCACCCCCATGCCATTTTATGATGAAGAAATGGAAAACAAACAAACAAACAAACAAAAAGAATAAAACCAAGAATGAGCTTCAAGTATGATACAAATTAAAGGGGTCGATTTAGAACTGAAAAAAAAAATCAGCCCCTCCTATGTTGACTCAAAGCAGAACCTTCTCAGAGAGAGGCTTCAGAACAGTTTCCCAATAGACTTAGCACGTCAGAGGTTTTGGGGGTAGACCGAGTATGATATCATGCAAGCAAGAGTGGTGTATCAGGGCCTGGTGAAGTTTCTGAACTGATTTCTGATTCTCTGCAGAGCACTGCTAGTTTGGGTATACATTCTGACACCCTAATTAAGTTGCATCATAGGGAATGAGACACACAAAAAAAGACCAGGGCATGGAAGACTAGCAGCAGGGTCAGGGAGAGAAAAATGGTAACATCTGATGTGAAGGGTTAGGGCAGGAGAGTGAATTAGGATAAAAATTGAATAATTTAGAGACTGGAACGGCTTTATCCAGGGACTGCTACTGCTAGGAATATTTAAGAAAAGTGTGGGGAGTTTTCTTTCTGATGTAGGTGGAAGTCAGACCAGCATGGGGCCATGGAGATGGATTAAAGAACTTTTAGAATTCCTTCTAGTCCTTTGATACCAGATCCCTGTGCAACCTCTAATTCACCACATCACAGAACAACGAAGATTTCAGCCTCAGAGAGAACTAAACATGCAGAATTCGACTCACTGTGTATTCAGAGAGACTGGCAATGGGCTAATTATGCAGGGGTGTGTGTAGGGGTGAGGATGGCTCTAGAGGAGGTCCTAGGAGTTCAGACATGAAAAGATTAGTCAGACAGCATGATAGATTTTAAATTTGGAGCAGCAAATAATACAGGGAAATAGACTTCATGGGCCTTGTGTTCAATAATTCATGAGCTACTGTACTCAGATAAGGCTTCTTACCTGTTAAGTTAACCTCCCACTAAGATTCCTCCCTCTGTCCTTCTCAGAGCTTGGGGCAGTAATAACTGTTTCCCTCCTGCCTTTTTTTTTTTTTTTTGACCTCAGATTTGATTCTAGGCCACTGCATCAGCATAAACATTAAACTATGATAAAACTGAGAGATATAAGGTGTGGACACTTACAAAGGTAAAAAGATCGCTTGTGATGCACAAAATATTGTTTTAATAATCTAAACAGCATTTCTCAAAGGATGCTGTGAAACACCAGGTTCTTGAGATGTATCTTTCTCATAAAATATACACACATACACACAGAAAAGAAGAGAGAGAGAGGGAGGGAGAGAGAGAGAAAGGGAGAGAGAGATTCTACATAGTTCTGTGGTCAAATAAGTAAATGAATTTAGGAACTGTTCCATATTAAACCTTGGAGATATAACAAGGTGTTTTTTTTTTTTTGCCTTATTAAAGGCTCTTATTAATCTTATACTGAATAAAAGTGTTTCTCCTTATTCAAACCGGCATTTCCAAAACTTAGTTGACCTAGGAATCTTTTGAAAAATGTGTGTGACAGCTTGTGGAACTAGTCTTTCACAGAACAGTGTTTGGAGAATATTGATGAATTATTTCTATCTGTATGTGAGCATGGAGACGGCCTAAAATCTCAGGTTCAGTTGGTTATAGGAATCCTGTTAGAGAAATTTGGAGGTTTTTCCTTTGCTTTGATCAATCTAGACTGCACAATTTTATCATTCTGGACAAAATTTTACATCGAGGCTTGACTCATCTATAACTGACCAAATTCACTTGTAGCAGATCTCTCATTTGTTTTATTCCTTCTACCTGGCTACTGAATTGATATTTTACTTGAAATTCACTACCTCCAACTTGTTGATCATGTGGTTATTTTTACATTTTAATGAATTGTGCTAATCTCTTGTAGAATATTTATTACAGAACACGCTTAGTAGTCCAATGGCTTAAGTTACGATTTATTTTTACATGCATCACATCATGCAGCTGGTGATTCGATTCATGCTGTTTATATTCCTCCTCCCTTATCCCTAGCATTTTTTCCGAAATGTTAATTCCTGCAAATCTGATTTGATTTAGGCAATCTGAGAAAATGCAAGGGAAGGAGGCTTGTAGATTGGAAAGCAATCTACAAATGTAAGATGATAATCATTATGAACTTATTCAGTAATTCTTCTACTGAGTACCTTCTATATGGTGCCACATAATGTGTCAGGGGCTAGGGCTATGGAACAAAGTCAAGCCAATTCCTGTACTCAAGATGCTCAGAGTCTGGTATGGGGCTGGGTGGAGAGGAAAAACAATAAAGAAACAGTTATGACAAGTGAGGTGACATTGGTACTGAAGAAGCATAATAGGAGTACAGGAGAGAATCATCCAGTTAGACGGGGAGTTGGCATGAGGAGGCTGTCTAAAGGAACTGACTCCTAAATGGTAAGTGTAAAAGCATGAACATAGGGTAACTAGATAAGACAAAGGCGAATTTGTAAATGCTCCTGAAAAGATGCTCAAACTCATTAGTGACCAGGAGACTACATATTAGAACAACAATAAAACACTGTTAGATTGGAAAAAATGAAGAAAGTGGGCAATATTCAGTATTGGCAAGGATGTGGGGAAACAAGTGTTCTCATATACTATTTGTGGGGATGTAAATTGGGATAGCCTTTTTGGAGGGATGATGAAAAATTAAGAATGTATACATTTGGAGTTAGCCATTTCTTCCTAAAGATATCCTCACGGGGTTTCATAAAGAGAACTGGAGAATGTTCATTATGGCATTATTGGGTGTAATGAGGATTTGGAATTGACTGTCCATCTGTAGGAGAACAAAATGACCATACTATGAAATACCATGCAGAATTGCACAAGAATAGAAAGTGCTTCAATAACTATTGTTAAAGCAAAGCATTAATTTTCCATATGTCATGCACAGTATAATGTTACTTACGGGGGAAATCCCAATGAAACATTTATTTCTTTATATACAGATTTACACATGTAATCACACGGAAGGGATCTGAACAAAATCACACTAAATTGATAACAGGGCTTTCTCTTGGGAAAGGGGGTGAAATTGGGGGAAAGCTTTGACTTTTTACTTTACATACCTCAGTATTTTTTGTAAGATGAAAATGTACTCATGATTTGAGTAGTTAAATTAAAAAGTGAAAATTTAGAAATGAGTAGAGTCAGGGGAGAAGTTGTTGCAGGTGGAGAGATTTGCCAGTGTATGCAGGAAGAGTCCTTGGCTAGGAGCCATAGCATCCACAGATGGTCCTTCCTGCCCAAGGGGCAGGGCCTCCCTGCCCGGCACTGCAGCCCTTCTTGCCTCCTCCAGGACCTGGTTCCTTCCCTCATCCACCTTTCTCTCTTTGTTGGATCTTCCTCTCACTAAAATTATGCTGTAGGAGTTCTCATCTAAAAAAGATGTCTCCCTGATCTTTTGTTCCCCACCAGCTATCACCCCCTTTCTCTGTTCCCTTTAATAGTGAAACGTGTTAAATGAGTTGTTGATGCTCACTTCCTTCATCACCTCCTGGAAAGTACTCTCGGCAGTCAGGTTCCCATCTCTGTCCAAGGAGACACTTCTGGCCAGTCGCCCCTGCTCACCACCCTGCATACCCAGTGCTCTTTCTCCATCCCCATCCTCTTCTGCCTCTGGCAGCATTTGGCTGAAAGGCACTTGTCCTTTGGAAACACTTTCTTGGTCTGTAGGATACTGAACCCTTCTAGTTTTCTCTCCACTTCGAGAACTATTCCTTTATCTTCTCTTCCCAAACCTCTGCATGTTGGCATCCCCCAGCCTCCATCCACGGTCACATTTCTCTTTCATACTCATTCCCTGGCAGAGAAGTTCTCAATTTGTTGCTCTCAGAACCACTTTATACTCTTCAAATTACTGAGGAACCCAGAGAGCTTTCTTTATGTGATTATGGCTGTCAGTATTTATGTGTTAGAAATTAAAACTTAAAAATTTGAAAGCATATTTAATTGTTAACTCATTTAAAATAATAAACCCATTACATGTTAACATAAGTAACATTTTTTTTCTGAAAAATATGTATTTTCCAACCCTTCCTCCAATTAGTGAGAAAAATGGCATCATTTTACAATTTTGCAAATCTCCTTAGTGTCTGACTTTAATAGAAGACAGCTCTGTTCTCATCTCTGCTTCTGCATTAAATTTGTTCTGATATGTTGTTTTGATGGAATTATATGAAGAAAATCTCATCTTAAACATACATGTAGCTGAAAAAGGGAGTCACATTTTAATATCTTTTTTAGATAAGTATGGATAGCTTTCTTTGATTCTATACCAAAACTTGAGACGTGGTATTTTCTTAAAGATTGATTAGTTGCAATGTAGAATCTGAAAATAAATCAATGAACTTTTTTTTGCACCACATTACATTAAAATGCATTGGTGTATCTTGTGCTTTGAGTGGATCTTTTACCCATGCATGGTTTTACATATCATATACTGGTCATTTAGAAAATATTGGCTCACTGAGTTATGCGGATATTCTAAATGTTGATACATTTTATGATATAATATTGAAAAATCATACTTGTTGCTTGCACTATATATCTATTAGAAAGGTTTTGAGTATTAGGAAGATGTCAAGTTCATAAGAGAAATTGCAAGTTTTCAAAAATTCAAACTTTTCTCCGAAAGCTCAAATTTTATGATTAACAATCAATACTGTCAGTTGTTTTCCTTGAAGTTCCCTCATTTCAGATACAATATCTGCCACATATCCAATCTGAATACCTATAATTTATTTTCTAGTTCTTTTCAGTAAAACTGGCATTCCATGAAAAACCGATTGGAGTGGACTATAGCTCTCAACTCCTTTATACAAGTGTTTTCCTTAAGACAATCATGTTTTGTTAAGCAGCAAAGGTGCTTTATGTATATCTCCCATTTCATCAGATGAAAGTATTAAAAAATCATGTATATACTTTAATAAAATTAATAATATTTCTGATTCATGGATGAACTTTTCAGGGGAAGATGTCCCCCTCTTTTTTAAAACCAGGACCGTGTAGAGGTGAAGACCACAGTTACTACTAATGTAGTTTGGTGCCACCGCTTTGATTCATGCTCAGATGTCAGCACCTTCACCGCTGCTCTTGCGCATCAGTATAAATGGCTGCACAGCACGAAAGACAAATGCTGTTTTAATTCTGTTGTGAAAATGGTTTTTACCTTGTAGATCCCCTGAAAAGGTCTGAGAGACCCACCTTCCAGCAGTCCACGGACCACACTTGGAAAAGCACTGATGTAGACTATACTCCACTACAATCAGCCTCAGCTAACTTCAAATGACCAACTCTCAGGCTAATTATTTGTTTTGCCAAGTATAATTATAAGACGGCTAATCATTGGCACTTACATCACATGTAATTTTTCAATAATGGATTTAATAAGGTTATTAAGCCCATTAGTGTTTAGTACTTACATGTCTTTTTTAAAACATGAAATTAGGTTAGCAAATCTTAGCTGCAAATCCCTTCTCTCCAATTTTCTGTTTTTAACACCCCAAGTGACTTGGTTTGGAATTATACGCTGCTTTTCAAAATTGTTCTCTCATATAATGTCTATTGGGTTGGAGAGAACAGATAACCTTTAACACTCAGATTCTAGGACACCTCTCATCAAAGATGTGTGTTTAAATGTCCTTGAATAGCATTACTGTGCCACTTTGCACAGTAGCTATGTCTATTCTTTCTAAGCATGTGCTATGTTTCTGGCCCCAAATAGCAAGTCTAAGCCAGAGGCAGAGGGAGCCACATTTACTCTAGAAAATTCCATGTAGTTTGCATCCACTTATGTTGGCCCCCTGATCTCACTCTTACCTTCCAGCCTGATATAACTTTGGTAATTACTCTTGGCTCTTTTGGCTTTCATGATTTTTTTACGGCTAACTTCATCTTCTTTTTTTAAAGCTCTGATTGCTACCCTGTTTTTCCTCTCAGTCGCCTCTGCCCTCCAGCGTTGAGGGACTTCTCTACCATTTAGCCCCAGCCTGCAGAACTCTACTGACTGGACCATCCCTGGCCCCACTTTCAGAAGGGGATTGGACAACCATAAATGCTCAGGTTATATGCAGTTGGGTTCAAGTGGTTATTTTTGTTAAGGGTTTGGTTTCCCTTTCTTTTTTTTTTTTTAAAGATTTTATTTTATTTTATTATTTATTTGAGAGAGAGAGAATGAGAGATAGAGAGCACGAGAGGGAAGAGGGTCAGAGGGAGAAGCAGACTCCCCGCAGAGCAGGGAGCCCGATGCGGGACTCGATCCCGGGACTCCAGGATCATGACCTGAGCCGAAGGCAGTTGCTTAACCAACTGAGCCACCCAGGCGCCCTGGTTTCCCTTTCTGAGGTTTTGTTTCTGAGGTTTATTTTGTTAAGGGTTTGTTTCCCTTTCTGAGGTTTGCTTGGAGGAAACAGTACCCATAAAGGACAATCATGGAGTGCCACTTTAATGAATAGATGGTCCAGCACCCAGTATCACACAGTGCGGGGCTTACTATGCAAGGGTTCAGACTTTATGGCACAGCTATGCTGGCCCTAGAGAAACATCGTTCCTAAATGTCTCAGGCTCTGACCCATTAAATTAGCCAGGTCTTTCTTGTCTGAAGGCACAGCTAGTTAAGGGGTGGAGAAAAACATATTCGGTGGGGAGATGCAGGAGCATATTTTCCTACCAGCTTCCTCCAGTGCTTCTAAACCAAGCAGCATCACGAGGTAGGTTGTGGACTTTAATAGCACATTGCCCTGTAGCCACTAAACTTGAACACTGGGGAGAACTTCAGAGATGGCTAGGTACAACTCAACTTCAACATATAAATGAGGTCCAGGGATGCTCTCTATTCCACTGAGGGCCATACAGAACCAGAACCTTGTACCTGTAAATACAGTCTTCCTCCTACTTCATCACACTGACTCACAGGGCTCTGGAATTTTAAGTATTGCTTGTAAATGAGAAGTCCTTCCTTCCTGAGTTTTGGTATTGTTTCCCATATTTCCACATGTGTTACGGGGCCTTGGGTTCTTTACCTTAAATCGGATTTTTCTCTTACATTGATTGCTTTTGAAGGTGATCTGAACATGAAGTACTCTTTTTAATCTTTAGAAAAATACCTTTTTTCTTCTCACTCACAGTTATAGTTCTCCTTCCCAATGTTAGTTACTGTTGGGTTCCCAGCCTCCAAACTACCAGCCTCACAAGGTGGGTTTTTTTTGTTTTTAGTTTTTGCCTTTGAATCACTTAATTGCTTTCTAAATCATACTGGGAAGACAAAAAAAAACCAAAAAACAAAACAAAACACACACACAAAACAACAACAACAACAACAAAAACCCACATGGTTTTAAAGGATATTGCTTTTTGAATTTTCCGGACCCTGAGAGTCAAGAGAACAGATTTTTGTTAATGTAGACTGAACTGAAGGATATAAAGATTTGTAGGGTTTTTTTGTTTTTGTTTTTTTTTTGAGAGAGAACATGTACTAGCAGTGGGGGAGGGGCAGAGGGAGAGGGAGAGAGAGAATCTTAAGCAGGCTCCACGCTCAGCAGGGAGCCAATGCAGGGCTCAATATCATGACCCTGAGATCATGACCTGAGCTGAAACCAAGAGTCAGATGCTTAACCAACTGAGCCACCCAGGGACCCCAGAATGTAAAGATTTATAAAAGTAAGGGGTTGTGTTTGTCTTTTAACGCATGCATATAATTTCAATTAGTTACATTTATCTTATAAAAAAGATACTAAATTTTGAGGGGTGAAGGGTATATTGGAAAAAGAAAAGGAAAGCAACCATTTTCTCTCCCAAACTGCATTCTTTTGCTTTCAAAGGTACATTTTCCAAAGAACATTGTTAATACACAAAGCATGAGGCCGATCACAGATAATAGGAAGCACTTTCCAGAGATCCAGGTGAACAGAGAAATCAATACACTCTATCCTGTGCTGATAAGCACTTGGGCTCAAAAGGACATTTGCTCAAAATGCCTGTGGAAGCTGCCTACATGGCTCACAAATGCTGCTTCTGGGTCAATAGTTTTTTCACTTGCCCAATTCAACCAGAAGAGGATCTTCATCATACTCTAATCTTTAACATTTTTTACACACTTTACAAATCTTCATTCTTTTAAGAAGGAGATTGGCCCAGCATAGATTACCTGCAGGTATAATTTGCATGAGATTATAGAGATAGTTTAACAGGACCTCCTGCTGGGGGCAGGGGCGGGGGTGGGGGGTGGCGGGGGACACACATCCTGAATGGTGACACACAACGGGTATCATGCTGCTGTGTCTGCCTAATGGGGGAATCCGCGGCAACTCAAGATTCTAGACAGAGAATTTCCTTTTCTATCAAAAGGAACTGAATATATTTTTTCCCATTCCAGCTGGGTGGCAGAGAACACAGGCATAGCATACAGAAACAGGTGGCAAAAAGAGACAACTAGATAACCTGGGGTCACAAACACAGAGAGAGAAAAGCTCCAGCAGGGTAGGTGACGCTACAGCATACCAGTGGGGGTGCGCACCTCCTTAGAAACAACAGATAAGGACCGTACTCAGAGTTAACACGGAGGGGGCTGCCCAAGCAGACTGAGTTTTTATAAATGGCAACACAGAGTCTCACACAAGAAGGTGCAAAGTCAGCACAGACTAGCTCAGGATGGGGGTGATGTTCACATAAAACACACCTAGACAGTCACTTCCTTTGTGAGATGGTGTCAGAACGTCTCTGCACAACCTTATAAGGATTATAACCCCTGAGTGTCTGAAAACTGGCAACTTTCCTTTCTCTTTCTCCCCACTGCCTTTCTCCTAAGAAAGATCTGGCTGGCTGCCTGCTGGACTCTGATGGGATGGCGGTGGACATGGCTATGGGACTGGAGGGCCAGTGGGCTTTCACATTGAGAAGGGAGCAAACTCCTGGAGTGAGGACAGAGGAGACGAGGAAGGGAAGAAGGACACTGGCTCCCCTTGCCACCCCCCCTCCTACCCCACCAAAAAAAACCCCCAAAAAACAAAAAACCACAACAACCCTAAAACAACGGAACAGTGTGCTTGGGAGCAGGAGCTATTTTGGAGTAGAGTTTTGGGGAAAATTAGATGCAGGAAATGTGGGGCACCTGTTGGTGAATGTGAGCTATAAGTGGAAAGAAACGCGGAAACGAGTTTTCACTTCAGCTGGGCCTGCTGAGTGGCGTCTTTCATTCTTTGCATGACTCCAGGGAAGATTTAAGCTACTTCGCAATTAATTTTAAACATTAGACTGGTATTTCCTCAATGGCAACTTTGTGAGGCTTTAGATCAAAAAGTGGCTGAATTTTACAGGGTTCAACTTAAAGTTAAGCTTCCATTGAAAGTATAATAAACTATGTCCACTTCTCACTCATAATGAATTCCTCTTGTTATTGTCCTAAAAGCCTTAATTTAGAGAAACTTCCAGCTATTTTTTACATGGCTGGATTGTGGAGGCCACTTAAATATTATTTCCTCCATTCCAATGTTGGCAGTGGGGATATCAACAAGAGTCTTTTTTCCAGGAAGCCACTCTAGACTGGCCATCTTTGGATGTGTTCCAGGTGACAAAGACAATAGCAGGTGCAGCTGGGGAGAGAGAGACTGAGGCTGGCATATAGGCGGCCCCAGACCGCTGGGAGCATGGGCACCCTAGCAAGGGGCCCCCGATCGACCTTTGAGGTGATACACAGCACATCTCCCCATGGTGGGCTCCTCTAGTTTTTAGTCATTTCTCCAGCCCATAGCCATGCTCTCAAAGTGACAAAGACTCCAGAGGGCCACGTTCCCATAGGTGGAATGAAAACAGCACATAAAGGTTGGGAGCTGGGGTTTAGGAGGACCCTTGCTCACCAAATCACTCTCTGGGACAACGTGACACCAGGTTCCATGATGACAGATCGTACCACTTCTTATTAACATGGGACTCTGGTCAAGTTTCTTAACCTGTCTACTTAACCCTTAGATTCCTTAACTGTGAAATGCAGAAGTTAATGCCACCACCCTCACAAAGAGATGAAATGAGAAAAATCTCTACTTAACACTCAGGACCATGATTGGTATGTAGCAAATACCGCACGAAGGTTACTTCTTACTCTCCCTATCACTGATCCTCTTAGTATTATTATACTAACCTAATTTTTCACACGATTAAACTTGAAAACCTATACCTAAACTTGAAAGTACATCTCCTCTGCTTTCCCCACATTCACAGGTGATTCCTACATAATTATGAGTACCCTTTCCTTAAGGTTGGTTACCTTTCCTAGTTTCCTCTCTACCTTTTTCATTACCCTAATCTTGTAAATCCTTTAGGGTTTGGCCCTTGCCTAACACCCCCAAAAGAAGTGGCTGTTGATTAATTCTATGAATTATTTCTTCAGTGAATCTGTAGCTCTGTGTTGAGACTTGTCTTTTGGCACATCTCTCTTCTATTATCATTATTTGTACATTGTCTTATCTGCCCTACTCGACTGTAATTGGCTGTAGAGACAGGTCAAGCCCTATTTACCTTTGAAACATCTATAGCATCTGTACCTGATGAAGTAGTAATTATTTAATAGGTATTTTTAGATGAATGAGTGAAGATAATAAGATAATAATCAAATAAATTGTTCATGATACACAATGTCCCCTATTAAATTAAAAAAATGGGGTGCTAACCTATGAATGCTTGTTCCCACGCTCTGAGTCAACACCCAATCACACACAGCAAACTGGGTTTGTGTGTCACTCAGATTTGTCATATATTGTCTCTACCTTCAAATCCAGGGCATTAAAGCCAGGGTGATTCCAGGACCTTGCAACTTGCCTGTTAATTTTAGCCATTACCTTTATAAATATTAATTTCTGAGAGTAAATAATCAATAAGCATCCTTATCCCTTGAATGAGAAAAATTCGGTGATGGGTTTATGCATTTTCCGTTAGAGGTCAACTCTAGAGCCAAATACTCCCTCCTTGCTAGCACTGATAAAATACAATTTGCATTACATCCCACTGCATAGTGGACTCTATGTCAGTGATGGATTTCTTGTATGTTACTCATGTTTGACAAGCAATTCCTAATAATTCCCATTTCAACATCTTGGAAGCAAGCCCCATCTCTTGTTCTTTCCTTACATAGATACACTGAAATGTTTAAAGATACTCAAACATACATACCCACTAATGGAGTCCAGAAACCCAGTAGCACCAGAGAGTTGGGGCCAGTCGAGCTCATTGGTAAGAGCTATTGGTAAATTGATGAAGGATTTCTAAAGAAAAAATAAAGTGGTGATTATAAAAACGGTCATCTGTTTTTTACAGGTAGTAAGATTATTCATTGCCTAGGCATTGTTCTCTGTTTTTCTCACTCTCTTTTTCTTAATCTCTCTCTTTAAGGGACTTTGACATATATGAAGCATATGCCTCTCTATCATCAGAAACATCACAAAGATCAGCATCATTCATGAACTGGCTTCCATTCAGCTTCTGTGAAAGATGTGAAATGCATGGCAGCTTATACTCATCCCTCATTTGAAAGGGATGCTTCAGTAGATGGGTAAACTTTCCACTTTTTTAAATGTGCTGGGATTTTCTCCATATTTTAGTTTAGATATTCAGGAAATCAACTGTCTAAAGGGTAATAATAACCAAGCCCCCAGCAAAAATGCCTTCCCTGAGTTCAAAGCTATGCCCTCAGTCAATAAGACAGTGTCTCCTGACCTCCTTAGGAGTCTCAGGCACCTCTGAGAATCTAATTAGGGCTCCTTTACTCCCAAAGATGCACATATACTCTACGTGGCCTATGATTTCAAGGGGTTCACAGACCCCCTGCATCTCTAGCACAGACTCCAGTTCAAGAACTCCTGACACAGAGTGTTGACAAAACCAGGATTCTTTTGAACCTCATTTCTATGGTTTATGCAAAATCACAGCAGAAAAATGTCAGCTATGTCCCCTTATTTTTCCTTCTATAAATACCTTCTGGAATCAACCTCTACTCTGGTCTAATTTCTAGAAAAAGCTTATCTAGACTGATGTGTTCAGAATAGGGTTGCCAAACTTAGCAGATAAAAATAGAGGATGCCCAGTTAAATTTGAGGTTCAATACACAAATTGTGGTGTATACATACAATGGAATACTATTCAGTGTTTAAGAAGAAGGAGATTCTGACCCATGCTACAACGTGGGTGAAACTTACGGGCATTATGCTAAGTGAAGTAAGCCAGTTTCACAAAAAAGATAAATACTATATGATTCCACGTATGTAAGGTATTTAGAGCTGTCAAACTCACAGAAACAGAAAGTAGAAAGGTGGTTGCCAGGGGCTGGGAGTGGATGTGGGGGAAGTGGGTGAGCGCCCCATCCTTATTCTTGTCCCAAGTGTGATTTCCAGCACAAGGGAGGCTGGCAGTGGAAGAGAGGTGACTGGGAAGGATGGCTTCTTGGGATTGACTATGTTAACTAGCAACAACAATGGTGTATTATCACTAATAATTATCATAATTATGTATTAATTATATAATACTAATGTATAAATTATGATTTATCTCCATCAAAGGAGCAGAGACAAGGTCATGGAAAGGAGGCTCCTGATGAATCTTAAAGCACCATGCAGTCCCAGTGACTGGCACTTTGTCACCCCCTTAGCAGGAGGCATCCACCACTTTCTGCTCAAAACTCCGCCATTATTGTGAGTCAGATACTCTCTGTTTTGGTTTCTGCTTCTGCTGCCACCATAAATTAAACGTTTTCTCTGGTTGTTTTTTTGTTTTGTTTTGTTTTATCTTATTTTTTCTCTAGGTCTTTCTGCTTTCAAAGTGTGTTTGGTGTAGGATTTGAGAATATTCAATTCTTCCAGTGAAGACAAGAAAAACAAACAGAATGGATGAAAATCCTAAGACGTGTTAAACGGAGAGAGTGAATAAGCAAGTGGCTTGTGAGAGGTAGACAGAACTCATGCGCTGTGTTAAGTAAGCTAGCAGCCTGTAGGACACGTTGGAAGTTAAAAGAAGGATACAACACTCCCGGATACCACGCTCTGTCCTTTTTCTCAGTCATCCGCATAATAACCACCCCAGATTTGGGGAACTGGCAGGGAACTAGCCTTCTGATTCTGGGCCGTCAGCTCTGCCTTTCCCAGGGAATTAGACAGGAACCCTGCCGGCACAGGGAGGCATGTCTGATGCTCTCTGCAGCCTGGAGCCATAACAGAGGGGGTGCCGGCAGAGTCGGAAAAAGCTTTACTTTAGAAATCCAGGAGCTCTGACTTCTGTGTCTGGCTCTACCAATACAGTGAAACTCCACAATCTGGATATGACACATGGGAAGTGGTTTCCATATCCCATCCAGCACCATTCTCAGTCAGAGGTGGCTGATAAAGTGTTTATCTTCCCAGCTGGGGAAGAACAGATGTGGAGGGAGGGGTAGGACAGGCGAGGAAATGGCCAGCAACCTCGTCTTGGGAAGTGGGGTCTCTCAATTCAGTCTCTGGATCCATCTGAAGAAATGGATCTCAAATAACCTGGGAGACTCTGGGACTTCGTGCTGCTCTCAAAAAAGCCCCAATCAGTCCTGGAATCATCCCCTCCAGGATTTAAGCTGGAGCAGATGGTAGCTGATGCTGAATCACAGCGGGGACCAGGGTGGGTCTGTATCCCGCAGTTGGAGCTCTGGAAGGCCCAGGAAGTTAGGTTGCATAGGTTTCTCCCGGTCACTCGATTAACCCTGAAATACTACAAATCTGTGTTTCCCCGGGTAAGTGCTTTAGACTTCACTTACGGCGTTATGGTGAAGTTTCACTCTCCCTAGCTGTGCAAAAGCAGAGAAGATGGAGCACATTTACCAAAGTGTCAGTTTTGAGATCTCTGATGGCTGTCGAATATTACTCTATCTACTTCAACAGGAATGTTGGGAGGATCTAAGGACAGCAAGGAGAGCAGGTTGACAAGTAGAAGCCCTACACTATGTAAAGGATCATGCTTGGAAGGACCACCTAGAGTCCCTTGCCAAGTGGATTGTCCCAGGTTTAAGAGAACT